GCCCTTAATGCCCTGGCCCACTCCAGTTTAAAATCTTTAATTTTTGAAAATGTAGGTAATCTTAATTCTCGTTTGTGACACTGCGCAGGCCTAAAATACGGGAACCAATCAGAAATGGATTCGTATTGTCTTCACCCTCAGTATAAAGGGACTCGCGTGAAACCAGGCCTAAATCTGTGCAAATCTGGTGGCAACGCTGCCGCTTAGAGCGTTGTATGGTGCATAATTGATACGCCTGGGTTCGGAACGATTCGCAAGGTTACTTGCGCATATTTGAATACGCCGGGCCGGGCAGGAGCAGCGGTGGCGGGGGGAGGGGCGGGGGAGGCGCGAAGGAGGGGCGGGGGCCGCTGCTTCGGTGCAAGGGAGCCTTGTTTCGCTGTTGCTGTTTCGCGAGAGCGCAAAATAAACCGGAAACGGGTTCGACATACAGGAAATAAGTCTTGGCGGCAATCACTGCACGCTGCACTCCGACCGGCCTACTTCGGCTCTGTTGCCGCTCGCCAGACGCAGCTCCAGTCGAACGACGGGCGAGGTCTAACCACCGAATTGTTATTGATAGACATATGGTAGATAAACGGATGCATCATAGATAGACATACCAGTTGCCTAGCAGGTACATTTTTTGCAAGACTTGGGAGAGAACTCAATTCGCAGTTCCAGTCGAACGCCGGGAAAGGTCTAAATACCGAATGATTATTGATAGACATACCGAGCTATCATTAGTAGGTAAACGGAATATTATAGGTAGACATACCAGTCGCCCAATAGGCACAAAAAATGACACAAATTTGACAAAAAAGGAGGAAAAACAGGAAGGAGCTTGTTTGTAATTTTTTTTCGCTTAAAAAGTGACAACAGTTTTGGGGAGCACGGGAATTCTGGAGAAGATTTTTGGATTGATTTTCGTTTAAAAGATCTTTGGCATTCTTATTCCCCAACAAACAAGGTCTGAAGACGAGTCTTTCATTGATGGACATACCAAACCATCAGAAAAATACGAGTGCGTACAAGTTGCTCGACAGACCTACCTCGAATACAGAATTATCATAGATAGATTTACGGATCTATCATTCGTTTCCATTAGTGATAGATATGCCAGTCACCAAGTTAACAGAGTCTAAATACGAAAGATTTTAGCGTCCGTAGGAATAATAGACTTCAGCCGGACCCTGGCAACTAAGCGTATGCTTTTGACCCTATCCTCGCATAGAGTACGTGACTAATTACAGACGTGAACTCGCCCATAATCTCGTCTCAGTCGGCCATTACGCAGACCATGCTTTTAAGCATCCCTTGTGAGTTTGGAAGTTGATCTTCAACGTAAACAAAGGCACAATCGTCTCTCTCAAAATAATGCGTGAAATCAAAGGATTATTTCGCAAATCTTAAGTTTCAGAAGTTATCCACTAAAATTGTGTTACTGCCCCAATTTGTTGGATGATATGGACATTTCCAATTAATTGTGGCAGTACCGCAACCCAAGTTGCGGTAGAATTGCAACATTTTGGTTAGTAACAAAATATATTGGGGCACTACAACAACTAATTGGATTCCCACCACAATTAATTGGAAACGTCCATATCGGCCAATAGTTGAGATCTGAATTATACCTCTTTTTCCGTGTGTCATTCAGGTTTTTCTTTTTCTTTTTTTTCTTTTTTTTCCTTCTTTTTTTTCCGTGCGCATCAACCAGGTCTCATTTTGCAAAGTTACGATTGACCAAGATCCCTCGACAAGCTATCGACGTGAAGTTCCAAAATCGGCTTCATTCCGAGCGAATCGAATGTTTCGTCAATACTTGGGGTTGTCTGGCCGGCTTTGGTTGAATGAACTTTTTCGGTCTGCGACGATCACCGGGGGACGGCGAGTTCAGACTGTAGGGGGCACGAAGGAGGCGGCTGGGGGGGGCGAAATTGAAAGACTAGCGAAATTAAAGGCGCGGCGCGTCAGGGTTAATGACGTCTAAAAGGGCGAAAAAAGAGGGGGTGCCCGCCCCCCGCGTCCACCCTGTCCCACCCCGTTGCTCCGGGCCGCGGAGGGCGGAAGGGGTTCGGTTTCGATAAAAATATCGAAGGAGTTCTGCGCGCGAAAAAATCGCCCTCCCTTCGGCCGACGCTCACTGGAGCGAGTCGATAGGGAAACTCGGACAAAATCTGGGAACTTTGAAAGCTTATATTTTCGAAAATATGAAACGAGAGAGTCATTAGCGTGGCATGCTTTGCGATATATTGATTGATCTGCAATTTAAACCTATGGGAAAGGATCGATTTACAGGATGTTCGCACCGAACACCTTAATAATCGATTCTTTACCATAGCCTCAAATGGGAAACTATCGAGAATGGATCATTCTCGCCTCGCCACTGGAGAAAGTTTCTTGATTTTTCTTGATTTAAGTGAAAATCCGATTGAAATAAGAGTATTTTTCTTGTCGATGTTTTTAAGAGTCTGGACTCTAGATCCGATGTGGTTTTTTTCCAGTTTTCGATTCTGAAGATATAGTTCAGACATTCCTATTGTTTTCATATGAGAGGAGTATGAAGACATTTGGATGAAGTCGTAGAGACCCATGCTCGCCTCTGATTGGTGCCGGATGACACTATTCGGTTTGGCGCGAAACTAGGGTGTCTTGAATTTGCGGAAAAGTTGCGCTCATTGAACTACGTATTTTTCGAATTCTGGGTTACTTTGTCGCGTTTTAAATGTGCGCATCGTGCTCTACGCGTCATTCACCTTTGGTATGGTATATCTGAAAGTCAAAATTCGAAATTCAAAAAAACTTCAAAGAGCGTCAATCAGAATGCGAATTTTATTCCCTGCTTTTTTTGCCTTTCTTCCCCCCCACGGGGAGAAAATGACGATCCTGGCACTATTCCAACAATACCCCTCTCTGAAGTATTTTGGCGAATATTTTGGCGTTTTTCCTGTTCATTTGTGGGTTCATCCTCAAAATTTTCAGCCGCTGACGTGCGAGAAGAAAGGTTTTTGCAGAATCTAGTTCAAAATGCCAAAAATGGGTGTGCAAATTCTTTGTCTTGTATCCGAATGGCTTTATGTGCTAAAAAAGGATAATGAGAGAGAAACCTCCCAAAATCTGTTCATCGTCATGGCGTCATATCATTGTAACCTGAGCACAATCCCACTAGATACCCCTGAGTTGTTCCTAGTTGAGAAAGTTCCTAAGCTTGAGAGAGTGCATTGTGGTGGGCAGGCAGTTGCACATCGCTGACGATTTTTCGGAATGTTTGAGGTATTTGATCGCTAACGGTAAGCCAAAATTCCTGATTCATTCACCGTAGAAATGTGCGAAATTATTAGAAACTACCCGATGCAATGGTACCGGTACCTATAAAATTTAATTTTGAATTTTTTGACACTATCTGATTGAGATTATTTTGTCCGGTACACGCGGTCACTCACCTGAATTTTTTTTAAAAATACCAATAAACCAATCGGATCGCATTCAGCTAAAAGGAGCCAACGCTATTACAATGTTGTGAAAATGTTGCTTCTTCATAATTATCTAAAAAAATCTCCTGGAATAGCATTTAGCTTTGGCCTCCCTCCGAAAAATTATTAATTTTAAAGTATAATACACGTGTAAATTTTAATATTGTATATGTGTTGAGTATTTTAACAAAAAATGAGATGTTCTACGATTTTGAAAACACCGCGATCGCGCGGTTTCTTTTGGCTAAATGCGATCCAATGAACCAAATTAACTTTCTTGGAATTATTTAGAAAATTTTGTTCGCAATTTAATCTAATATTTCGGAAAATTTCAAGGTATTACATGCCTAACTTTCCTTGTAAATAAATAATTTGTCGCGGGAAGTTCGGCAATATTTGAATGCTCATTCATTTTTTTCCTAGCACGACTAAGTCAGGGTGATAAAATTTCATGAAAAATAAAAACTTGAAATTTCGCGTGAAGTTTCCCAGAAATTCATGAAATATATTAGAAAATACCGGTTCCTTTTCTTGTTTCGAAACATGTGAAGATGGCTTTCTTCTATTTTTGTGTGTTTGCGTGAAAATTGCACACTCTGGACCCTGAAAAATTTGAAATATTTCACGGCCTCGTGAATTTTCATGCAATTTTTTACTAAGATCTCCAATCTTTCATTTCTTCCCTACGGTTCATGGCACCCTAGGCAGATTCCAGCCGTGTTTTCTTAAAATCCGAGGATGCGTTCAGGAATTTGAGCATGGCGCCCCGAGTGCGGAGAGAGTGCAAAGTTAAAGCAAACAGCAGACAGCCCATAATGCACACACATACCCACCTATTTATGCAATAAAAACTGGGACTCCACCACCCACCAACGCGGCGTTATACTTTATTGATCCCTGCCGCCCCGTATTTAGCACCTATCTTGCACAGCCACTCATTTTTCTTCCTTTTTTTCTAATTTTTTCGTCTCTCTCGCGCTTTCCCTCCCCCCTCCCTTCTCTCTCGCTCCCGGAGCCGGCTGCGTTTTCTCTCGGCCGGCTCTTTTGCCTTTGCCTTTGCTTTTGCCGTTGTCTCTTTTTCCATCATTTGCGCCCGCGGCTTGTCTTGTCGAGACCAGTGGCGTGGCGTGCTTTGCGATGTATCGATTGATCTGCCATTTAAACCTATGGAGCCTATTTAAGCCAACCTATATCAGGGTGTTCGCAACGAACACCTTAACAATCGATTCTTTACCATAGCTTCAAATGGGGCGATATCGATATATCTCGAAGCACGCCACGCCGCTGGTCGAGACCCGTGGCGTGGGGAAAAAACGACGGGTCCCAACACTCTGGATAATTTTAATTCATGGATGACCCTTCTGGGCCCTAAAGGCTCGGCTGCCTAACCTCAAAATTACCGACATGTCTGAACTCTCCCTATAGAAGTATTCTAATTTTAAGTATTTTAGTGTTCTAATTTTAATGATTTTGTGTTTAAACAATTTTGGTGGCGATTTTAGACTAATGGAATCTGTTTGTGTTTTTGTGTATGTTGGTGGGCGACAGGACTGGAGCGAATCGCGGAAGAGTTGATGGGGAGGAGGAAATGGCAGCACTATCACTCGAGCCTGCTGCCCGAATACAGTGCCCAGCTTCAGATGGAGGAACAGAAGGACTGGTCCCCGGTCGCTGCTGACAAGTGCGTCCTATGCCCCACTGACAAACCCAGCCCCACCGATATCACCAACCTCCAGGTAACCAACAGTTACAATAGTAGCAACATCATGTTTACAGTTAGTTTTGAGCGTTCACCACGTTAGTAGTGTCAGTTCGTGTTATCAAGGGAGAGATGAATGAAACTAACAGAAAAAGGATAATTCGTTCGTCGTAAATATAATATCCTTCAAATTTTGTTCAGGCATTATTTCAAAATTAGAGGTGAGAAAATCCATAAAAGCCTGAAATTTGTATTTACCAATGGAGTGCCACTTTTTGGGAGCCAGGCGATTGAGTTGCAATATCTAGTTTCTCTACATAGGCACTTTGTTATTCCGACGCTGCAACTAACGACAACTCCCGTGCATATCTGAAGAGGTTAAAAAAGCAGAAGCGCCTTCAACTTTTGAATATGCAACATGCACGTCCGCGGAACACGAATAGTTGCATCAAAGCGCCGCAGTCAACTCAGTGTAGTCTCTGTAAAACTGAAACGCCTACAATTTTTGAATATGCAACACGCACATCCAAGATATAGAAAATATAAGCAAAATTTAAAAAAAAAAAAAAACGTAAATGTGCATCAAAAACTTTTGAGGAAAATGAAAAAACCAAGTTGTAAATTTGTTTCATATTAAGTGTAATTATTGACCGATTCAAATTTTAAGATTTTTGACCGGCCAGTCCGCGGACTAGCATTCATCTTACCGATTAAAATAACAAAACGATAATAATTATAAATGGGCTTCCAAGGCTGAAAGAAGAACAAGAACACTACACCGGGGCGTTTCGGGCCAATTATATTTAATCGGGCAAATTGCATGCAACTTCTTCGTTGCATGTAACTAGATCGTCGCAGTTTTGTAGTTTTCTCTTCATAGTGGCCATGTGGACCAGTTCATTACTTTCGATTTGTCTTTTTGGTCTTTGCCGAACGACCTGATATTAGAGTTGAAATGTTTGGGTGAGAATCCACCTCTGCCAATACCTAGACTAACAGCTAACATTAACAGATTCGTCGTATCAGAAGCAGCGTATTGCGTTCTGCTCGTAGATAAAAATAAAGTTCCTTGGCGCTGCAAATTTCATGACACAATAGCACTCATTACGGAATCAAATTAAAATAATTTACTCGCCGGGGTGTCAGGGCAGAGAGAGTGCTCAGGGTTCACGCGTTTATTCTAAGGATTTCAGAATTGAGATCTCTTCAACGTTATTCTACGAATGCATGTTTTTTCCCGGATTGAAAAAGCTTAATGAACAGCACCGGGAAAAACCTTTTCCTGTTAGAGCTGAAAATTTTTCAATCCAAAAATAGCACCCATTGCCAACAAGGAACGTTGTTTCTTGGTGATTTTCCATTCATTTATCCGTGTCAAATTTTTTCTTCTCGGGAGAATATCTCGCCGGACAAAAATTTTATCATACAAAAAAGGTCTTAAAAACAGGCGAAATTGACCTGAAATTAAAACTGACATTTTTTAGTCCAGCCGTACTGATTAAAAATTTAATGACTTTAAGTACAGGATCGTAGTTCTTTAATTATCAACGCATTCATATCATCAAAGGACAGGCCACCGTCAACACTTTGCACGCCAATAAGGCTCGTCAAGGCATGATTTGTCCCTACCGTGATCAGGGTGTGTCATAATTTGAAAATAAGAAAATTTAATGGGTCAATAGACAAGGCATAAATTTAAATACCATGTTACGTGTTTTCTCCTCAGAATTTAACGTAAAAAGGGATTCAGGTGGCAGACATTCGCTCGTTGCAGTTACAAACCTATGGGGGCGTACACTTAAAAATTCTTGACGTCGAAGAAGCGTATGGAAAAATAGAGCACTTCAAATCCGCTAGGAAGTGTCTGAAACAGACGATGAAAGTTCGGAAAATTATCGATCAATCGTACTATTTTTTCAATTAAGAACTACGGTTTCTGCCTTAGTTTAGAAATAACTTACGTACCATTCGTTTCCTCATGCTCATAAGTGTTTGACTGATGAGCCAGAAATTTTAGCTCATAATTGCAAAATGCAGTGCAACTAAAAGGAGCAAATTCTCTACTGTGGCACTCACAATTTTGGGAGATAACCCCTGACACTTTTTTTCCGGGTTCTTTTTCCGCTGTAATTTTTAGAGATAATATACATTTTTTCTTCTCATTCTTTTATTACCTGTACTGAAGAATCTTGTGCTGAAATCTCAAAGTCTTTGCGGAATTCACGGGAAAAAAATTAGGTAGCATTTACCATATTCTGGTTAATAAGCAGCACAGCCAGAGAGTATGGTAACTTTCATCAAAATTATCGTGAAAGTAACAAGATTTTTCCATATTGTGACTATAATTTTAGTGGAAGTTACCATACTGTCCGGTTATGCCGTGAACCAGAGTATTGTAAATGCTACTTAACTTTTTCCCCCTTTTTTTTCAACTGACGACTTTTTGGTGATTTACGTTCACTGGAAAAAAAAAAAAACACATTGGAACTAGAGTTCAGACTCTTAAAAACATCGACAAGAAAAAATACTCTTGATTCAATCAGATTTAAGCTTAAATCAAGAACCAAGACTCTGAATTTGAGCGGATTTTCTCTTGATTCAAGCTTAAATCTGATTGAATCAAGAGTATTTTTTCTTGTCAATGTTTTCAAGAGTCTGGTCTGTAGATCCAATGTGTTTTTATTTCCAATGTTGTCTCTGATCCTCAACTTATCCCTGTTCCGTGTTTCCCGTTCTAATTCGAGATTCCTTCCAAACAAGGCAACGGTGCTGTCTGACAACTTTTAGACCGTCTCTCACGGATCGCCCCCCTCATTTCGCAAGGGAGGGGGGCGTGGGGTTGGGGGGGCGATATTGAAAAATGATTTCGTTTTCGTCGACCGCAGCCCGACCGGGGCGGCGCGGCGGGATAGCGTTCCGGGTTCACGTGTTCCGGTTCGTTCCCCCGTTCCTGTGCCCGTCCGCCCGGTCCCTTTTTTTGATTTGATTGATTCTCGTCAATCAGCTAAAAATCGTCCCCCGCGCGTTACTCACCGCGGGCTCCGCTCCGTTCCGCAGCGGACAGTGGATCGAAATAATGAAAGAGGTCGGACAAAATTTTAAAGCTTGCACTGGAAAAAAAACACATTGGATCTAGAGCCCAGACTCTTAAAAACATCGACAAGAAAAAGGACTCTTGATTCAATCAGAATCTAGCTTAAATTAAGAACCAAGCGTCTTAATTTAAGCGGATTTCGTGTAGATTCAAGCAAAAGTCCGATTGAATCAAGAGTATTATTTCTTGTCAATATTTTTAAGAGTCTAGACTCTAGATCCAATGTGTTCCCCCCCCCCAGTGTATAACTCCGTTTAAAGAACGTTCAAATATTATCGGTTGTCTTACGGAGCCCTACGAAGGGGAGGGGGAGGGGGGGTTAAAGCCGAGTCTGACGTTAACTTCCGTTGTAAAAAGAAGGATTCTTCTTTTAAAAAAATAATAAAACATTTTAAAAAATGGGGAATTTTTGGGGAAAAATTTTTTTCTGAAAAAATCGGGGGTCCTGGCCAATGTTATGTAATTCAAAAAGGGGGGGGGGTCAGAGATATCTTATGAATGCCTTACAGGGGGGCAAAAAAGTTGGCAAAATTGCCTTACGCAATTCTTGAAAGGCCCCTTATACAAAACTTTGAGATTCTAAAAGTGGTTCCATTGGTTTCCTCGTGAGATTTCATTTCACTTGCACCCCTCGAAATTTAAAGTGTGACGAAATAAACACTAAAATTTTCATTATTAATCAGAAATTTAATATCTGACCTCTCTAATTGACTTGATCCACTGTGCGGCGCGGCCAGACGTCCGATATCGTCGAACGTCGGAGCCACCGTCGAAATTTCGTCGTAAGGACGTATCCCGATCTCTACATGAGCCCCAGAAAACGAGGATTTATAAGTAAAACAAGGCTCACCCGGGAGTTGAGGTACGCCTCTACGTCGGAGGGGTGGCGGTTTGTCCCTCGTACACGCTGCTCTCTGCGAGGGAATTTCACCCAGTCTTGATAGAAAATAATCTACGATATTTCCTTCAGAAAATTCACCAAGAACAAGTCAGTTCCGACACGGTGTCTATTGGAGTGCCGTCGTCATAAAAGTGCGACCATTATGACCATGTATGCGGGCTGATTATTGAAATTGATAGTGAAAGCGATAGACAAAGAGGACCTTTTGCTTGAGGCAGGTGGTTCCTATAGACTAAGGGGGAAAATTATGGACTAACCATACACTGAGAAAAATATCTGTTTCCTTTGTGTTACTTTCGGTTGATATAGGAAGAGCAACACAAACCAACTAAAATTTTGCGTTGATTTTGGCACAATTTGTAGTTTTAGCGCAAAAAGCAATGAAGGGACTGGGGAACCCTAGAATCAACCGAAGGCTTGGGTTATTTTGTGTTTTACTCCCCAAACTTTTGTGTTGAGTTTTCTGTCCGCACAGGATCTCGCGTAGATTGCCGTTGATTAGTCATTACTTACCTCCTTCGTCTACTGCAACCGCCCTCTTCCACCTATAGAATCGCTCCGTTTCCACTTTGTCCGCTTTGTCTATCAATATCAATAATCAGCACTTGAATGTCTAAAAATTCATCAAGCTTTCATCGGTGATCCTGTTAATGAAGTTGTGGCTGATAAGGCAACCAGCCTGTGATATCGAAGGACCATTTCCCCATTTAAAGCCATGGTAAAGAATCGATCAGTAATATGTTCGTACGAACACCCTGTTCATCGATCCTTTTCTATAGATTTAGACAGCAGATCAATCGATGTACCGTAAAGCACCACTGATAAATCCGCTCATCCGAGATCCGGCAACGCCGCTCCGGGGCGCGGAAAGCAAGGAAGCTAATTGGAACAGGGGCAAAATAGCGAAATAGGAAACGGAGACGAGCAGGTTGCCTACAAGTCGGGCGCAGGGGGAAAAAAAACCGGCGCGGCTCATAGATGAGTTCAAGAACTATCCCCTCCCTCCGAGCGCGTTGCCCCTCCCCCCGGCCCTCCCCCTCCC